CTCCTTAGGGGGGCGGCAGCTTCAAAAAGGTTGAGAATCACTGGGTTATAGTTTCAATTCGGCAGCTTAACAGAGACCAGAGGACCCCATACTGAGGAAGACTATTCAAAGGAATCATATGCAATATCATAGGCAAAGAAGACAAAATAAAGAATGAGGAAACACAGCATATTCTCTCCTATAAAAGCTCCAATTTAGCATGAAGTAGAAGCAAATGCAATGTCTATTTCAGAAACTTGGAACATTGGTGAGAATCTTTGGATGCAGTAGTCACATCAGGTTTGATCCTTGGTGTAGGGAGTCATACATGTACAGAGCATGTTTATATATTGCTGCTTCCAATTCAGCAAAGGGCATACATGCATTATCTCTGTAAGGTTGTTTAATTGTTTAAGATCTGTCTGTCATCTTTCTCGCATTTATCTTCTCTCTCTCTAGCTCTTTAGCTCTCTAGCTCTCTCTCCCTATCTCTCTCTAGCTATCTAGCTATCTATCATCTAGCTATCATCTCCAAACAACAGTGCCCTCAATTTTTTCCTCCAGTTCTGCCCCAGAAAACAGTACAGAACCTTGAACTTATACATTTATATCTCTACCATGACACAGTTTGAAGAATTATCATTCTCTTCTCTATCTCTTAGACACAGATGTCTGGAGCTCATGCAGATGCATTCAAAGTCAATTTGGCCCAAAGGTGATGATTTAATGTGAGTACAAATGCTGCACTATTGACTCTTAAACCAAATGCACATTTATTCAACAAATACTGGAAAATAGGCCAAGTAGCTAATGGATACTCAAGGCTTGAATTAATTTGTTGGACAGAGTATAGCACCAAAAGGCATATCCAGTGCTTAGGACACCAGTGGAAGCATACAGCACCAATCTTTTATTGTCTGCTTGTTAGTTCATGCAGCTGATAAGAGTCTGAAAAATCAATACTTAGGAACACAGGAAATTACCTTTCACTGAATCAAGATTTTGGTACATATAACCCCTCCCAAAGTTGCTAAACTGTAAATGTTACAGTGATACAAGTAGAAATAATGACATACATGGAAAATAAACATATTAAGTGTATGCCTATTTATCTGGTTTTATTGTTTCTGATCCAGCTTTTTATTTTGGTCATGCCTATTTTTGGGGAGTTCGGCCTTCCTTCTTTCCACTGCTCAAAGGCCCAAAGTGACCCACATAAAGTGATGGCATCTCTTAAGGGGGTTTGAAGAGAATTTTTCCCAAGTCCTATCTGGAGATTGTAGGCCTTGACATGTTCTGCATGCAAAACAAGCTACTAACTATGCATGAAACATAACATGTTCCAGGACATGCCTTACTTTTCTTGAAACTAGCATTGCTAATACCAATCCACCAGCTAGCAAGCCAGTTAAATAGCTTAGTAATTAAGTCAAGAGTGTCTAATTTCTGTATCAGCTCACACCAGGATATAAGCTTCCTAGAAGTAAAATCCTGCTATATTAGATAAAATTGCTACTGTGTATTTCTATAAACAGTGTGCAACTTCATTGCAATTCTCCACCTCAAATTTATGTGATTTTGCAATTAAGAACTGAGCAGTTGTTGGATTAGCTGAGTTTGTATAGTCTGCCTTGAGTGTGACCCTCAGAGCCCTATATATTTTGCCACTGAATTCTGAGTTTTAATTGATGGGGTGAGGCAAACTATTAAATGCTTGCTAATAACCATATGAAGTGTATTTAACTGACTTAATTGCAATTTAGTTTACATTTAATTCAATCAAATGGTGTTTTTATTGTGAGCATTTTGTTTAGGATTTCCACACTTCTTCCACTGTGTCCCTAGGATATCACTCAGACCCCAAATATGGCTCTCAGCCCCCAAAAGGAATACAGAGCATGAATTTAGGAGCAGGATGATGGCCTAAACACTTTCCAATTCTATGATCTTGCTGAACATGAAGTTGAGTGCATGGTGACATTGGAAGGCGTGTCTAAGTGCATCCATCACAGCAGGACTAGCCCTTATTAGCCCATGGCCTGTCCTCATTCTTTTAATGCATGGGAGAGTTAGACTGAATCCCTTTCATGGGGAGTTACATGGTATATAGCTACATTAAATAATTGCATAAAGTTGACCAGATTTTCTGTCAAAAGCCACAAAGATTGACAAATGGCAGAACTCAAATTTCAGGCCTAGGAAGGTAAACTTGGGACTGAAAAGAAAAAGCAGACAAAACAGGATAGACTGCTATACCATATTTTAAGTTAAACTATCATTCAAGAGATTCCACTAAGACACCACATCATATCAAATAATAGCAAGCAGGAACAGGACTGGTTTTAAGAACTGTTATTTATTATTTGAAGGAAGCTAGATCATCCAAGAGGACTTCATTGCAATGAAGAAAGAGGACACACATTGCAGGATGGACAATATGCAAACATTTTCTTTTGCTCATTGCTTGGATCCTGTTGTAAAGGCCAATATAGCTTCACCCCTCAGTGAGGAATTCAGGACACAGCTTGCCCAATTTGGATACAGCCCTCCCACAGACTTAGAAAACTTCAAAAGCTCTTTGGAAGGGGGATCTCGTAAACGTAAAAGCATGCCCATGAAAATGCCTTCCACTCTCCCTCCAGGAGATCCCTCATTTCCATTGCACAAACATGAAGAGAATGTTGATGAAGATTCTCCCAGCCTCCCTTCAATATTTCAGCATGAATCCACACAGCCAAAGTACAATGCTCACATGATCGACCTCTGCAACCTTGGTTATCATTTCTACAGGACTCTGGAACACTTTGGAACACAGCCTATCAAAGAAGAACCAATAAAACCCAAAGTTCTATGGCCTGGCCCTACCACATTTCTGCAGGCTCCCTATTCATACTACCCCAAAGTTCACCCTACTCTAATGTTTCCTTTTATGATGCCCCCAGATTTTCATTTTAGAAATCCTTTCCCATTGAAAAGGCCCCTGGAGCCACCCTTCAAAAGGGTTGAGTTAAATGAGCAAGCTGAAAAGAAGCAAAAGGTGGAAAGAGTGGATGTTAACATTCAGATTGATGACAGCTACTACGTTGATGTAGGAGGGGAACAGAAACGTTGGCAGTGCCCTATGTGTGACAAATCTTACACATCCAAATACAACTTGGTCACTCACATTTTGGGGCATAGTGGCATCAAGCCTCATGCTTGCTCCCGGTGCGGCAAGCTTTTCAAACAGCTGAGTCATCTGCATACCCATATGCTGACTCATCAAGGCACTCGGCCTCATAAGTGCCAAGTATGCCACAAGGCCTTTACCCAAACCAGCCACCTGAAGAGACACATGATGCAACACAGTGACATTAAACCTTACAGCTGCAGGATCTGTGGGAGGGGGTTTGCCTATCCCAGTGAGTTGAAAGCTCATGAATCCAAGCATGAGAATGGCCGAGAAAATATCTGCATTGAGTGTGGTCTTGACTTCCCAACTTTGGCTCAGCTGAAGAGGCACTTAACCACCCACCGAGGTCCTATACAATACACTTGCACTGAGTGTGACAAGACATTCCAGTACCCAAGCCAGCTGCAGAATCACATGATGAAGCACAAGGATATCCGCCCATATATTTGTACTGAGTGTGGCATGGAATTTGTGCAGCCTCATCACCTGAAGCAGCACTCTTTGACTCATAAGGTAAGCTAATGCCAGAGCTTCTCCAAAATGTTTTTTGGTGACCTGCTAAAATGCGTATATTTTTAAGCACTTATAAACCGAAAGTAACACAGAAGCCACTTCCAGATTACCACCATTTTTACTTCTCCCTAACCTCAGAAACACTTTCAGTCTCAGCAGCAATGGTCTTCACTCAGCCAATCTTGAAATTTCAAGAACACCATACTTGCTGCAGCTGTCCAGTAGGTGTCCACAAATTGACATCTGGCCAGTATAACCCTCCATCTTTAATTGCCAATCCACTTATCTGGCAACTTTTTTCAAACACCTGACTGTACTTTGAACTGTTTTGTAAAGGAGAAGCCACCTTAAGTTCAATTTTTAAAAATACAGATAGCACAGCACCACAACAACATACCCACTATGGGGAAGGAGAAGAGCGAAGGAGCTCAAAGGCAGATAAAATAAGAGTTCTTGTCAATGGGAAAACATCTGCCCCCAAGCTCCTAGGTTTGTAAGGCTAAATTCCTCTTCCACCATGGCTGAGCCAAAGTTAATAGTCTCAGCTGCCCAGTAGAGATGATGGTGTGGGATCACAAGCAGAGTCAATCCAAGGCTGAAATAAATGCCACATGTGGAGGAAACCTGAGGCTACAAATCTTTGCCCACATATCTGGGAGAAAGCCTCACAGAATCCAGTAGGTCTGAGTAGACATCCATAAGAATGTTCTACAAACTTGTAGCCCTGAACACAGGAAGTGAGTTCATTTGGACAGCATTTCCCATTGGTGATCCTACTGAATGCAACAATGCTTACTTCAGAGTGTCATGCATAGGATAATACTATAACATTCCAAAGGTGTTTTGTAATAATTGAATTAAAGTAAATATTCATTACAGAAACAGGTAATGGTGAGTGATAATGAAATTGCTACATTTCTTGGTTTATAGAATCATTTGAAAGTAGGATTGATGGATTCATATGAAAAAAAAGTATGAAAGTTTAGAAACAATAATAAACTCTCATTATTCATTATTGTTTTCTAACTCTGGTTAAGGTTTTTGAGCCAAGGTAAAAGTTTACTTCTTTATATTGTACACTTTCACACTCACACACATAATATTAATAATAATAATAAAAATGAGCAAAATTTGAGCTATTTTAGCACAAAGACATATGACATTTGTCAATACTTATTTAATATATTTTTCAGAGATAAAAAATAAGCCAGCCAGCATAGTAGATAGCGGCCTTCCCTGATCTGCCCACCATAGTTGAACTACAGCTCCCATCACCTCTAGCCAGCCTGGCATAGTTGCTAGAAGTGTACAGGTTCTGAAATTTAACATTTCCTGAAGGTACCAAGTTTGAAAGGCTGTTCCATGCATATATAAATAATCACTGAAGTCTGGATTCCAAATTAAGGCTGGGCAGCACTTCAGATTCAATTCCAAAATAATGCTTCAGGGTCCACAGGAGACCAAATGTAACCCCTTAAATCATCTGCATCTTTTCTCAGGATTGTGCTGCAGGCAGCCACATGATCCTAGGAGAAGACGCCATTGTTTTAAAGAATTGTATAGTTGTCATACATTTGGTTTCATACTCACTCCAAAGCACTATTTGGAAATGAGTCTGAAGTTCTGCACAGCCCTAGTCAAAATCTTTTCCATTCAAGAGCTCTTCTTGGCCTGATAACAGAAAGGTACACCATTGTTCTTGTAATCTTTTCTCTCTTTCTCTCTCTTAAGTTTTTGGTGGTCTGTGATGGCTTTATCAGTATTGTTTTTCTTCTTTTTTTTTCAAATCTTAGAAGATTGCGAACACATTATTCTTCAACTTTGCATGGCTAACAGGATAATATGGGTTAAAAATGTTGTGGTTACTACTGGATCTAGAAACGTGTTAATGAGAAGTCATGAAAAGGAAGTGACATCTCGATATATGTAACGAAGTGAGTTATTAAAAGGTGCTCAGTTGGAATTAACACAACACTGCCCAGTGTAGACATACTCCTTAGTTTTTTCCCCCTGACAGTTATTATTGCAGACTAAAGGAGAAACATTATCACAATCAAATGATAAAAATAAAATGAAATAAAAAGCAATCCCAGCCAAAACTAAGACCAAATTTTAAAAAGGAAAAGGAAAAAAAAAGGCGGGGGGAAACCAATACCCTTCACTTACCTTGTTCTTATGTTTTTCAAGGGTGTGAAAGAGCACAAGTGTGGGATCTGTGGCCGGGAGTTTACACTACTTGCCAACATGAAGAGACATGTCTTAATTCACACCAATATAAGGGCCTACCAATGCCACCTCTGCTTTAAAAGCTTTGTGCAAAAACAGACTCTCAAAGCCCACATGATTGTCCATTCAGATGTCAAACCCTTCAAATGTAAGGTGAGTATTTCTCATTCTAAGTACAAAGTCAAGTCAACTAAGAGATATCAAAATGATTTTTTTTTAAGTCACTGGTAAAAAAGGAGCTGAGAAATTCATTATTAGTTGCATGATAAACAACAAAGACAACTTTCCATAAGTATGATTATGTCTATAGCCAGCAAACATTTATAGTGGTAGTGATGTGTAAATATCAATATTATTGAATTCAGAGCACATGGATGATTTAGTAAGACCTCAGAATGGTTGCTTCTCATGTGACAAAGGTATAATCATAAATTAAACCAGTATAGTTCCCTTTCATGATGCCCCAAATCTGCTTTCCTACTCTTGTTGGAAACAAGATTCTTCTTTACTTCTAAAAAGGGGGAGATAAATGCATGTTTAAGAAACCATCAGAGCAGGGTTTCTCAACCTTGGCAACATTAAGACGTGTGGACTTCAACTCCCAGAATTCCCCAGCCAGCATATGTCCCCAGCCAGCATATGTCCCCAGCCAGCATAAGTCCACACGTCTTAAAGTTGCCAATGTTGAGAAACCCTGTGTTAAAGTGAAGATAGTTCAGTGTTACTGAACTGTACCACAACAGCATTTGTTTCATATCCATTAACTCCCAACATGCTTTAAATCTAACCAATAATCCTCCACTTTGTCTGGCGTGAATTTGGAATTTGCAGGAAGTCCTGTACCTTCAACCAACCCTTGTTCAGGAAAAGCTAGCCAATACCAGAGCTCTGAAAATGCTAGGTAGTAATTCACTTTCTCTGCTACATATTTGTCCGTGGCTGAGCATCCTCCCTTCCCATCTACTTCCAGTGCTTCATTAATCAACAAACGGTCTTTCCCTCTTTTTCACAAAAATGAAAGCAAATACGCCTTTGGTATATTATGGTGCTATTCTAGCAAGCCTTAGAGAAATGTCTTCTCTGAGCAATGTCTTATACGAGCAAATCCTGATTATCAATCAAGTCAGCAAAGCTCCATTTGAGGTCTTTTCCCCAAATGGGTTCACTGAGACAGAGTGAGATTCATGTGTAGCTGATGTGAAAAAAAAGGTTCCCCCCCCCCCACAGCACTGTGGAAGTAGAACTAGGACATTGCAGCAGATCATTGCTGGTTTGCTGTTAACAATGTGACAGGGTGGGGACCTATAAAGCAACAGAAGCAGGAGAAGGTGTTATATGGCAGGGCAGTGCTTCTCAACCTCAGCAACTTTAAGATGTGCGGACTTCAACTGCCAGAATTCCCCAGCCAGCACAAGAGTTGAAGTCCGCACATCTTAAAGTTGCTTGAGAAATGCTGTGGTAAGGGATCACTCATTCTTAGAAAAGAGACATTAATAAACCTTAGGCTAACATGTTCATGAACTTTTTTCCACATCACCTGTTGTGAGTGATCTTTAAGACAGTGTTTAAGAGAAAGAAATCGGAGCACTGTCTCATATCAAGAGGTTGGGAGCAGAATCAGAACTACTATTCTGCTGATAACAGAAGTGCTTATACCAGACCAGGATAATCCAGTTGTTGTTGCATTTGTTGTTGTTGTTGTTATCATTTAGTGCCAACCCACAGCTAAGGGTCAACATAGCAAGCTGTTGTTTCTTTGGGGGATTTGATGAAGTTGCAAATAGCTGTCATACCACCTGTTTGCCAGATGAAGCCCCACTTTTAAAAGCAAGACTCCTATTCTAGACAGTTCTCCTGGAATGTGTGTGACTGATATTCAAATCTGCAATACAAGAAATGAAACATACACAGACATGTGTATACATATCGTTGTAATGTTAACTTAGATTTCTAAAAGATATTCATTTCTGGAATGCATAGACAAAGAGAAAGATTATATACTACTTAGAATGATTAACAGATAATGGTAATCTGTTACGTAGGTGGTACTTGTTCAATATTTTTCCTATTTTGGAGATGGGAAGCTTGGACTGATGAAATAGTGCCATGGTTTCATTGTGTCATTCTTTGGCTCTTCAGTTGTTGCACTAAATCAGCCTTCCCCACTCTTGTACAGTTCAGTTGTGTTGAGTCCACAGTTGTCAGGCCTAGCCCAAGAAACTCCAAGAGACCATGGAAATTCAGTCCAGCTATGTTTATTAGCTACAACCTCTAGCAAGAATCTTCCCAGTCAAAACCCCCAGTCCCAAAGGTCCCCCAGCCACAACAGTGTGAGTTCCTCAGGGAGGTGCCAGTCTCATCCTTTTGTTCCTCTCACGCGGTTCTGTGAGCTAAGAAAATGCTTATCTCCCTGAGCTTGGCCTTCATAATTCCATTCCATCACAACAGTTCCCAGAATTCTAAGCATTAAGGCCATGCTTGCTAGGTATTCTGGGAGCTGCAGTTACAATATATTTATCAGGCATCAAATAGGAGAAGAGGGATTGAAATGAGGAAGCATTGAACTAGTAGACTTTATCTTCGTATTTTCTTTTGGTTTTATTCTTCATCCTGAGATTGCATTTCACAGCACTTAGTGTAATTGCTAGTCTGCTGATGATATATATATCTGACATTTGCATTGTGGATTTCATCCCAAAGGGAGGTCAAGGATACTTAACAATTTGATATACTGGCTAAACACATGAATCAGTCTGTGCGTGCTGCCTTTTTTATCAATACAAAATATCAATTATGCCTATACCTAAAGACAGGAAGTATATTAACAATATTAGAGGAGGCAATGTCATATTTCAAGCAGGATGACATTAATTAAATTCCAGCTTAACTTGCACAACCGTGTCAAAATTAGTTCAAATGCTATGAACTTTTTCATGAAATAGTTAAACCTTCTGGCAAGCTGCAGAAGAATACAATAAGTCGGTACAATCTCTGTTTTCATATTTCATGATCGGCACCTCCTTGATGGCAGCTATTTCTAAAGACCTCCAGCGCCATCCAATCCACTATTTATTGAATGAGGCAAAAATCCCTTCTAGCTCAACTATGAATTCAAGCTAGGATTTTACCTTTTTTGCCCTTGAGAGGGTCACAAGATCAGCACGTGGCTGCAAGAGGAAGTAAATACGAACTAGGGCGTTGGTGACTCACTTTCATCATTCCTCTCCCTCAAGAAAGGGGGAAATACATTGTAAGAATGGAATTCCCATTAGGCTTGTGTGAGCAGGCCACGCTTTGTCCCATGAAGTCTCCTTTGACCCCAGAGACAATGGCATTTCAATGCCATCCTGAGGTGCAGCAATCAGGCAATTCATCCTGTTGCTTCATTTCTGGCTTCTCCTCAGTCACATCTGTTAGCTGGAGACTTCTGGTTTGCTTCTGGAGGTGCTGGAAGAGCTTTCTGGATGTGCACAGTGGCTCACAATAGAGCCTTTTTAAACTGGACTTGTCTTAGGATGCCCCAGAAATGAAGTGAAGGAGAGCAAAGCAGAACAAAGCAAACCTTAGTGCAGCTTTCTAGCATGATAGCTTTGAACAGATATAATTCATTCAAAGCAGTGGTAGCTGTAGCAAAGTGGGACGACACAAAAATGATGATGGACATGTGATGATATAATTAAGCAAATGCTGCAATTACATATTTGTGTCATTGGTGTAATTGTCATCATGAATGCATCATTTGCCCCTCACCCTTACTTGTCCCCTAAAGACACCCATTACCTGAAGTCCTGTCAAAACAAATCACCCTTTCAAGCTTTACATGGGGAATCAGGCTTCCTTTTGCCACCTTCATAAGGGAAAGGCTATAAGATTATCAGGATGAGGGAACCTGCTTGCCCACCTCAAAAAGTAGGCAGGCCCAAGGCAAAATCTAAATTTTATATACAAATTAAATTAATTAAATACACAGGATTGCTTCTCTTGTATGTTAAAAATTCCCCCTTCCAGGATATTAAAAATTATACTGTAAATTGGAAAAATAATAGTCCTACTGTATTCTGCATTGATTGGATTCCTTGAGTATTATTCCCAGTGCTGTGCATCACAGGGTAAGAAATGGTCAGGCACATTGGACCAGGTGCAAAGAAAGGCCATGAAGATGGTAAAGGATGGAAAGCAAAATTATGCAGGGAGTAATTGAGATAGGATAGGATAGTACTTTTTCAAATACCTTACAATGTCAGAAGAAGTCTATGGCCTGTTCTCTATCATCCTGAAATGGAATAAGGGCCTTAATTACAGGAAGGCAGATTTAAGTTGAATGTGAGAGAGAAAAAAACTAATAGTAAAAAGCAGTTTGATAGTAGAATAAATTATTAAGGGAATGGTGTGCTTTCCTTTGCTGAATGTGTTCAAGGAAAGGCTAAACAGCTGTCTTTTAGAGGAGTTTTAAACTGGATTCCTGCACTAAGATGAAGATTAAAGTCCTACTTAAAGTCCTAAATGTCCTTTTCCAAGACTTTGATTCTGTGATAATCACTGGCAACTTTTGGAGGAACTTTGGAAAGCCACATGAAGCTCTGATGTCCACCTTTGAGGTAGACCAGGTCAAGTCAGGAAACAGCACAAGAAATACTAGAACCCTAGTTTATTGGTAGAGATAAATATCTATAACAACAGAATCTTGAAAGCCTGACAGCATTTATCCTTCCCTCTTATACCAAACAGGCTCATTCATGAGTTTCTTTCTCACACTTTCCTGTTTTCCTGGCCTAAGTTCATGTCTTGTTACATACTTTCTTGAAGGCCATCTCTGTTCTCCACTACACCTGAGGCCGTAGGCAATGTACTTAACTATAGAAGAACAAGAAAATAGTTGACCCTTTTTAATATCTCTATATTGAACCTAATAACTTTGTCAAATGATTAAGAAGAAGAGTGGCTTATGCAGAGATAAGATGGACATCCAGTGTTTGGGGGCAACTTCTGAGGCTCCAGAAACCTTGCACAGTCCAACATTAGCACCTGTCTTGAATCTACCTGGCTGGGCTCTTCAAGCAATGCCAGGAAGCTGGGCATAGCTACTGAAGCTCTTCCATATCAATTTAAAGCAATACTATGGCAGGAACACTATAAGGAATTTTAATCAGAGAGTGATTTCAATACCCAACATTGCTGCTGCCACCAAAGTTATCCATTGTTAACAAACTCATCATGGTCTATTGGTGGAAGAAGATACCCAGTAGAAGATTCTTATCCAGAACCTCCTCAATCCTAGCCTTGGACTAATGCTTTTAAAAATATAATTTTATTGCTTTAAAAACAATATTCTTTGTATTACCTCTTACGTAAGGTATTTGTAGCCTTGTAGATCATGCAGCATAGGCATTGGGGAAAGTTATCTGTGCAAGAGGGGGAAAACGCATGAATCCAACAGCCGTCTGCTCCTTGTTACACTGAATGGTCAGATGGAAAGAGGGTCAGTAGAGGGGAGGAAATCCAATGGACTGATTTTAAACCCTGACAGTCACGTTCCTGAAGGGTTTCAACAGGCAGCAGCTGAAACTGGCTACTTGGAAAAGAGGATCAGCCTGCTTGCAAGAACCCCTGGAGAATTGGGGGTGTTTGGCTGGCCTTCAGCAAGTTCAGGCAGTGACCAGATAGCCGCTTTTTGGCACCATGCTCCTCCTGAACAGAAGGAAGGATATCGCTGTACGAGCTGCCTGCTTAACAATGGCTTGCATGTCTCCAGGGAATGGCCTGCAAATAGATTTCATCTTGCTTTCTCTTGTACTTTTTGGAGCTTCCTGTTTTCTCACGGCCCTTCTGGACAGTTTGCAGTCTTTCTCCCTCTCCCTCTCTCTCTCACTTTCAGGAAAGGAACACCCTTCTTATTAAACTGTCTTTAAAAAAAAAAAAAGAACACAAGGGTAAGACAGCACAGCAGTGGCCTTTCTACCTCTCGGCAGGCTTGTGCTTTCTTGGACTTGTTTCTCAGAGCAAAAGAAAACAGCCCGCTTTCCTACAGAGCTGATCACAAAGACCAGATGTGGCCCGAGGGCAGAAGAAAGGCTTTGTAGCTAGTATTTCCTCATTATTTGGATTTTTTCCTCTCCAAAGAGCAGTGCTATCTGCAGTCTCTTACACCGATCCAGCCAAAGGTTGCAATGTTTGCTTACGAATAATTGTACAAATTTTGCTTCCAAGTGCAGTCATGTAGTTAATGCTGGAATGTACTGAAACAACTATCCCCCATCCATGTCAATATATATAAATACACACACGCACGCATGCACACACACATCCTCAGCTCAACTGTTGTTGTCAAACATTTGAGATTCTTTGCTCTTCACCTTGATACTAGCCTGAGCTCTTTATTTTGTAGTGGCTAGAATAATATTTTCTGAAGTAGAATGCTGAATTGTTTTCAGTAGTGTCCCATCAAAATGTACTGAACAACTTGAGAAAACTCTTATGATGACTATGGTGTGGGTTCCATCATAGGCTAATAATTTGACCAAAATGTGCCTTGTGTGAGTTTCAGTGGTGAAGCAAGGGGCAGACCTCAGAGTTCAGCATTTAAGAAGGGCCCCAAATGACTTTTCAGAAAGTTGTAAATAATTAGGAAAGCAGCAGAAGCAGGTGCCAATATTGAAACAGACATATCAAGGCTTACCATGGCTGATGTTGCTTGGCACAGCATTTTTTTTCTTTCCTGAGTTTTAAAAAACATTTAATAGCAATGGGACTGACTAGAGTGGGTTGTCTATAAGGATGTTTATTTACCTTATAGCTGCACCACTACTTCATTTTGCAAAATGTGTACTAGTATATTTGACTACTGAATTGTTTTAAAAAAGAACTAAAACACTATTGTTATACTGACAAACAGCTGCTGATAGATTTATCCCCTACAAATTTGTCTAGTAAAGTAGTCAACATATATTTGGGTTTGAATAAAGCCAGTCCTTAAAATGACAGAATTGCCTTATCATGCCAGTGAGTATAATATGGTTTTCTATTTAAAATGTCCCAAAAGGAAACAAATAATAATTCATATGAAGTATACAGGCTTCGTATGGACTACACTCAGAATATTCCACCAGAAAAAGTCAAAATGTGTTTCAGTGGCCAACTTTCCACACTGAGCTACTCTGCTTTAGTATGATAATAGTTTTTCTCCCAGGATTTCTACCTTCCCATGAAATCCAAAAATTTGTTTGAGGGAGCAGAGAGCCCATTAAATATTAGGTGGAAAGGAACATGACCAAATCAAGGATTAAATAAAAAACAGAAACATGCTTGAAGAGGAAATACAGAACTTCCTCTTCATCTGTTTAGTTTTCCAGTAGCATTCCATGCATTTTTCCTTAAACAATAGAAATCCCAATTGTAAACACACACCATCTCCTAGAATAGTTATCCCCCAACTTGACACCTTCAGAATAAATATGTTGGATTATAATTTCCATCACACCCAGAGAATGGCAACTGAGGATATTGGAAGTGATAGTCCATCCCATCTTGAAGGCACAAGTTTCAAAAAGGTTGTCTTAGAATGAGACACATCTGAGTTTCACATTAAACCCTACCTGAGTTTCCGAATGAACTAGTACACTTTGTCACGTAGACAGGAGGCCAATCAAAAACTACCCTACAATAAATCTGAGTTTGCTCTTTCATTTCCACAACCAGCCTCTGATAGAAATACTTGTCAGTTATGTTTACACTTTTAAGCTATAGTTTTGTATTTCCAGATGAAAGAATATTCATTAACTTCAAAGCCCCTATTCTATCAATTTTAGTAAGTATCCACAGGAATGAAAGAGAAGCGTATCAAATTTAGCTGTAAAGACTTTCCTTTTCCTTGAGGGCCTATCTATTTGTGATGGCTGAGTTGAGTTTCATTCATTGTAGAATGACATTAAGAAGTGAAATTCTTACCAAATTTTGAACCTATACCATAACCTTAACTCTATAGTGAGCACTTAGATTCATAGCTCAAGCTTCATTTTATTTAGTCAGGACAAATCTTTTGCTCACTGACATGTAAAATTTTTTGGTTATTTCTGTCAAGCTTCTCAGAACTAGAAGCCTCACAGGCAGCAATTCAAGGACACAGTTTTTGATTAATTCATTTTATTTCCAGAACTAGAAAAGCCTAATCTGACAACTAAGAGAGCTGTTCCTTCATTGATTGAGATTAAAAGGAGGCAATAGAAGAAATGTTGCAGATTTATCCTAAAATATGATTCAGAAAGGCAAACCGTAGAACTGTTGAGAAGCTGACTCAATTTTAGCAGGCTGTGTCTGAAAAAACAAAATGACCTCTTTGAAAAAATGCACCTACTGAATATTTATCACTTTGATTCTTATTGGTCTTTTGACAGCTGTGTGGAAAAGAATTTAATCGAATGCATAATTTAATGGGCCACATGCACTTGCATTCCGACAGCAAGCCATTCAAATGCCTCTACTGTCCCAGCAAATTCACCTTGAAGGGGAACCTCACCAGACACATGAAAGTCAAACATGGGGTCATGGAAAGAGGATTTCGTTCTCAAGGTAAAGACTGGTAACTAGGCTGATTTGCATTATATCCAGTAATATAATTACATTATTCAGCATCTGGAAATTTATGTGTGTACCAGAATCCACAATTGTGTCTTTAGTTGATCCAGATTTTGCCAAATAAGAAGAGGCTCTGTGGGGTGGCAAAGTCCAAGGTGGGAAGTTAGACCTTATTGATTGGGTTAGCCCATCATATTTAGTCATAGTTAGCTTAACCATAATTCTTAAATTGGCTGGTTTCACATACTGCACTAAGGTATAAACCATGATGTACAAATCATAATGAAAGAGATTGATTCACACATTATGCTAAAACGAAACCAACAAAACTCATGGTTTAGCGCAGTGGGTTGAACACAGCAATTGTGTCCTATTGAACAGATGAAAGATGAATATCACTTCTTGGTCTTTTTGCTAAGATCTAGTATAGTATCATGTCTGAACTGTAGGAAATTAATGATCATACCTAAAATGTGACTTGCTCTGGCTTTTCAGATGCTCAGGTGATTTTTCAGCACTGTTGGAAATTACTGCCTAGAACAAATTTGCTATAGCCCAAAACTCATGATTATTGGAGCTGTAAAGACATTAGTTCTAATAAGAAAATAATAATTCTGCTCCCACTAAAATTTTGTTGAACCACAACTCCTAGTAATCATAGTTAACTTGTTAGTTACTAGGACTCTTATTAATAATGAATACTGGGAATTGTAGTTCACTAACACTTGGAGATCCAGATGAATTTTCCAGTAATGTTGGCTCTATGAATTGTTGCAGTTATAAAACCAAGCTGCTAGGTATATGGACTTTAAGCTATAATATTCAGATATAAATTGGATATGAGCCATAAAATGAGTTGTATAATTTGATTCTCCAGATACTCTGTCTGAATTTGTTTATATATTTACCTACCCATATAGTTAAGAAGGATTTTTTAAATTATGATATTGGAACAGATTACAAAGGCCACTTATTTTTCAATATTTTTCCATATTGTAAAATCATCCTAGATCATCCCATTAGGGTCAATTTTCCAGAACTGTACATTAAAATAGGGTGGAATTGCAAATATCCAAAATTGCCCAAGAGTTAGGAATGTAGCATCTACAGGTACCTAAGTAGGATCTGTAAAACTCCAGAATTAAATAAGATATATCTACATCTATATTGAAATCTGTGTGAGATTGCTTACTTGCACAGTATTTTGATATTCTTTCATATCTCTTGAGATTTTAGGTTCTTAGATCTTGTGAGAACATAAGGATGAGATCACCAAAACATTGTAAGATTTTACAATACAAGTTTCTACCTTTAAAAAAAAAAAAGAATGTCCAACCTATCATGCAATGGTACATGGCAACTAAAAAGATTGCCAATTAATTAATCTAAGCAAGATGACATGTGGTAAATGTAACCACCAGATAATCATCCTATTTCTCATAAATAATGAAACCAAGTATTACCTAAAATTTCCATAATTTTCAGGCCAAAATAATCAAAATACTTCTGCAATAAAAGCTATTCAAAATTGCCAAGAATGGCAAGTGAAGTAGCAAAGAACCCCCTTTTTTATCTTCTATACCACAAATTGCAAAATAATCATGAGACACAAGCTGAAATCTTCTGCACCAAACTGAAGATCAGAATCACCATAATTACAAAATGGACATGGAATGGTAGATGAATCTATTAATGTATTTGTCTTCTTTAAAAACATCCTAGGATTTGGAAGGGAGCAACTGAGAATGTCACAACCAGATGCCCCAAGAAACCTAGAACAGGAAGAACCCTTTGACCTTTCCCAAAAAAACCATGGGCAAGGGCTTTCCTTTCATTTTGACGGGGAGACTGACAAACAAAACTCAGGCCATGAGGAAGAAGAAGAAGACAACTGCCATAGGGCAGAGCAGTGTTCCCCTCACATGTACGACAAAGGCAAGAAGCCTAACAGACTGCAGGACCCTCCAGGCCAATCAGAATATGAGGTTAAGGATTTCAGAGAGTCATACTGTGATGGAAAAGAGAAAAAGTTCAATGACACCATTGAGCACAAACAAGAAAACAAAAGGGAGCAAACCCGAGGAGAGAGAGACTTTGTGAATAACAACGAGGAATATCACTTTGAAAGTAATAGACTCACTCAGTCTCTATCTGACTATTTGTACTTTCAACATAGGAACAAGAGCTTGAAGGAACTGCTGGAAAGTAAAATGGAAACGCAGGCTGTTTTTCTGGGGATCTAAATGGACATTGCTGAACTTACCTTTGGGAAAATGAAGTGTTTTCAGAGTTTTTGGCTAACATGAACTGTAAAATCTACCAAAATTGGTAAATGGTAGCAAAAAAAATATAAACACAAAAAGCTGGCAGAAATAATTTAAGACAATGTTCATTTGTCATTCAATTGTTCTTTCAAGTTTTCTGTTCTTATACAGTAACATTTCAGTAACATTTTAGAGATTAATCTAATCTTTCATTCTCTTCCCAATACCTTTTCCCAATATTTGGACTGGGTCTACATGCTCAGCAGAACAAAGTGGAAGAGTCCTAGGGTAGTAAGTAAAATAGATGGCATACAGGATAGTCTTTTTTTTTAAAAAAAGTTTCCCTATGTGATAAGTTTTCTCCCATCACAACTTTCTCCAGGCTACACAATACTTGTTTTTGCTTGTATATTTATTTTGATTGCAGAAAGTTAAGCACACGTGAAGCAACCACCTGAAGTAGTGCAGTACCGTCTCTATCTCAAGATACCACCACTTGATTCTGCTGGTTGGGTAGCTCAGTCCAGGCCTGGGTTTCAGTCTCCTCACATTCTGTCCCACTGTGGCAAGGCCAAGAACCAGTAACTGGGGCAGATCTGTCTGAGCAATAAGAAATGAGGAAGGAACCCATTTCTTATTCCAGACACTAGAAGAATAGGCTTAGCCTCTTTTGGTAGTATCCTTTCATGTTTCCTGTTTTTATACAGTAATAGTATAGAGGTTAATCTTTCATTCTGTTCCAATACCTTGTCCTAATCTCTTTCACTGTAACCTGTGTAAGTTAATAACCACATCCACTCTGCACATAATGAAGAGGCCCCTTGAAGGCCTACTTTCCACACAAAAGCTGTCAGTTATAAAATTGGCCTTTTATTAGATTAATGTGAACTTTATCATGGGAAAAAGAGAACTTTATTTCATTTCCTCTGGACAATTTTTTTTTCTTGATAATACTGAATTACTTCCTTTTTTTTTTTTTTTTTTTTTGTAAATCTGAATTTTCTTCTTTTTTTTTTTTTTCCTGGGAAATTTTTTTTTTTTGATAATTCTGAATTTCTTTCTTTTTTTTTTTTTTCCTGGGAAATTTTTTTTTTTTGATAATTCTGAATTTCTTTCTTTTTTTTTTTTTTCCTGGGAAATTTTTTTTTTTTGATAATTCTGAATTTCTTTCTTTTTTTTTTTTTTCCTGGGAAATTTTTTTTTTTTGATAATTCTGAATTTCTTTCTTTTTTTTTTTTTTCCTGGGAAATTTTTTTTTTTTGATAATTCTGAATTTCTTTCTTTTTTTTTTTTTTTGGTGCCTTCGAGTCAGTGTTGACTCCTGGCAACTGCCTGGACAAGTCCCTGCAGTTTTCTTGGCAAGGTTTTTCAGAAGCAGTTTGCCATTGCTTCCTTCCTAAAGCTGAGAGGGTGTGACTGGCCGAAAGTCACCCAGCTGGTTTCATGCCTGTGGGACTAGAATTCATGGTCTCCCAGTTTCTAGCCTGATGCCTTAGCCACTCCACAGTATTATAGAATTGGCTATATAGCCATAGTAAATACTTAAATGGGTTAGGGTGTCATTCCATATCCTCATAGCATTATGTACGCAGAGTCAGCTCTAACCTTCTAAACACCTTCTAGCGTGGGCTTTTCCAATGTCAATGGCTGTTGAACTCTGACCTTACTTGCCATTTTGCAAGTAAGTTTTGTGGTATCTGAAACACTAGGGGTAATATAAAAAGCAAACATCAATATGGCTGGGCCTTACTAGACTTTGAGAGTTTAGGAATACCATGTTTGAACCCAGATTTGGGTTTAGGCTCCTGACATGGAATTACCACTATTACACTTCTTAGAATTCTTTGGCATAACTATGACAGGAAACTGGTAGAGAATTAGTATTTTCCTGTAGTGTAGACACAGCCATTGTCTATGCTGTATCACTGCATTAACCAGTTATGATATTGCAGTAATGGTTTTGATAGTTTTGTCCATACTGAAAGGTGCACCCCAAAAGATGGTCCCAACAGATTAACAAAAATAAGCATATATTACATAATCTTGTGCTACAGAGGTGATCCTTATGTTTCCATAGATTCTTTTATGTGGAGATCATTGCATTGTTCTTCATGTGGGATAACAAGGAAAAATATCTAAGGCACCTTCTGGGTTGAGTTGACCTTTTAACTTGATCAGGCTAATGCTTTCTATAGGCTGTTTGCTTTACTTGCAGATTATGCTTTATTTGCACTGTAAGGTTATTAAGGACAATAAAATCTCAGTCTGGGACTGTTAACCTGAAGTGTCCCATGTCTGAACTACATCAGCTAAAGAACTTAGTCCACACTTGAAAAACATAACCAAGAGAACTAGTGACTTGATCTGCATTACAAAGCTTCAAACCACTTTATGTACTATGACTTTACACAATCATTCTGGACAGTAGAGCTATGTGAAGCATTCAAAACAGACCCTTTGCATCATTTAAGAGTGCAAGGGAAGCACCCCTCTTCAAATAATTAAAGGAAACTTGTTTTCTAGAAGACTTGCCGCAGCTGCATTGAAGACTGTCCTTTGTCTTCTGCATGTACACGCACAGACAACTTCTATAGAACTGCTAATAGAGGGAAGTGACTGTGCATGGACACACCCACATAGACAACTGGGACAGCCTTCAAAGCAGCTGCACAAGCCTTCCAAAAGATGCAGCTGCCTTAATGCTTTGAAGAGAGATGCATCATACATGCTTGCATACTTTGCAGAGCACCCCTTTCAAATGCTTTGCGCAGCCATACTGGGGAGAATAATTTGGTGAAATGCTGGGAGAGAGAGAAATAACACACAAACATACACAAGAGCACTGCCCCTATCAAAATGATAATTCTAAGGGCTCTCTGGGCTATAAAATTTACAGTATCCTATGCATATTACATGTATGAAGCAAATTTGATACCTTTTTGGTGGCTGATGGTTACAGATGTCTGACAAGGAGAAACTTCTACACAGATCTCTGTGGAAAGTAGAATTCACTTCTCACACTCTTTCAAATTGTGCAAAACCTAGCCATATAAAGCTCAAATGAGCTTTAATTGAGTTAATTCAGATGTAATTCTAATTAAATTAAATGAATGTTAAATAATTCATACTATTGTCCTATGTATTTAAAGCCCCCACTTTTTAAGGCGACCTCCTTGTAATCTCTGAAGTCTTACTTCTCCTACTCAGTAATGATTTAGTCTTGCCACAATACTGGTCCCCAACTGGTGGAGATAATAAGGGAACCCATCCTTCCCCTTCACAGTAATTGATTGAGATTAGTATGGAAATATTTTCAACAACAACAGGAGAGTCAGAAATATGGCTCTATACGCTTTCTTAGAAAATGAAAATGCTGGGCAGTGCATTATTTGGAAGTAGGCCCACATGACCCTTCTCCAAGATAAGTAGGCATAGTAAGATGCAGCTTGCTGAAGGGATGAGGTGTAGAAAGGATGATAGATAGCTTTATGGTAAATTGGTGTTTGTAACTGCTTATATTGCCCCCAGTAGCCATCTTAGGAAGTTCTCTTGAACAGTATTTTGCAAGACTTCCTGCAACATGATCTCAAAACCTGATCAAAGGTTTAGGGGTGCTGCTGTAGTAGTTACAATGTACTCCCTCCTGATCAGAACTCAACTGGCTCTAACACTTGAACCATTTAGCATTCTCAAAATAATTGATTCATATACTGTTAGCATAGGCATCTGGGTTGGTAGGGAGACCAGAGGAGGGCAAGTGACAGAGTATGTGTTAAATCAAGATACAAACTCTGCCCCTTGAGTGCTTACATATTGCAGCAAGTAGAAAGGATAGAACTTGCATCATGACATCACAGCACACGTTTCATCACTTAGGTATCACTATGTTTAGGAATAGTTACCTATGCCTGTTACGGCCCGGGAAGTAAGCCCCACTGAGTTCAATCTACTTAGGGACAAACTAGAAATTATATGGTGCTGGTAGATTTCATCCCCATTCAAATATCTTCAGAGAAAGGATTTTCCTGGGAATGGCAACAGGACAAGGAAAGGTAAATTCCCCTTCTCTGTTTCAATTGTGAACCTAAAAATCAACTCACCCCACCCAAAATTCCACTTGCATTTTGAAAAATCTGTATTTATATGTAAAGCTACACTTAGCATTAGGACTAATGTGGCACTTACTTTGAAGTAAGTACAAAAATTAGAATAATGTTGCAGCACAATTCTTCAATTGGTAGTCATGCCAGTGTTCAGTATCCCTTGCTTCCATTATGTAAGTAAACATGCATATGATTATGGCCTTAAGTTTAGCTTATGGCAATAACATGATCTCCATCTTTCTGGATCCTAATAGTTTGATATTAAAAACGGGAAATTGTATGTGATGATTTCTCTCCATTTTTCAAAACATGGAAAATATACTGCTCCCCTTCTCTGTTTCAATTGTGAACCTAAAAATCAACTCACCCCACCCAAAATGATCCAGAAAGATGGAGATCATGTTATTGCCATAAGCTTCCCCTTCTCTGTTTCAATTGTGAACCTAAAAATCAACTCACCCCACCCAAAATTAGCTTATGGCAATAACATGATCTCCATCTTTCTGGATCCTAATAGTTTGATATTAAAAACGGGAAATTGTATGTGATGATTTCTCTCCATTTTTCAAAACATGGAAAATATACTGCTTGATGAAAGATGTCCAGGATTTCTACAAATGTCTATGTAAAATGCAAGAATTC